TTCATAATCTACCCACACTGGTGCCTGTAGAGGGAAACAGTAAACGAATGTGATACTATCCTTCATGTCTGTGATTCTAGCTGTTGTGAAGATGTGTAATTTTGTGTAAAAAGAAGATACTTTCGCTAACCAAAAGACACAGACTGAAAGCTACTGTTAATTTTCTCCCAACAAACTCATGTGACATGCCATGAGGCTGCGTTTGTGCGTAGCACTACCATTTGCTGGAGCAGACTGCACGCACATGCCATTTCTTTGCCTCGACACCAAGTTATTTTCAATTACACTTCTGTGAAGTTTCTTGGGCGTTTTTGATATTCAAGGTGATACGCGAAAATTTTGTTGTTTCCACAAGGACAAAATTTTCTGTTTTCTTATTGGTGGAGTCACTCCTTGCAGGTAATCTGTGGATAGATGGTTTGCTTTTCATTCTCGCTGAAATCAAGTCAATGAAAATGCATGACTTACAGTGGGAGAGTTTCATCCTTTTAAAGTAGTTGCATTCGTACTATGAAACAGAATGTGGTATCATGTAACACTTCATGACGCATAGCTCTTTTTCATTTTTCATTTTGTTTTCATTTTTCATTTGTCCACTTTAAGGTTTCTCAGTTTAAAGCTCACAGGTGCAGAAAAAAGGAGCCTAACCCCGAGGGATGGCACAGTGGTGAGCACTGCTGCCTCACAGCGTCAGGGACTTGGGTTTGATTCCAGCCTCGGCCTGGAGTTTACAAATTCTCCCTGTGTCTGCGCAGGTTTCCTCTGGGTGCTCCGGTTTCCTCCACAATCCAAAGATGCACAGGCTTAGGTGGATTGGCCATGGGAAATGCTGGGTTACAGGGATAGGGTAGGGGCAGTGAGTCTGGGTGGGAAGCTCTTCAGAGGATCGGTGTGACTCAATGGGCCGAATAGCCTGCTTCCACACTGTAGGGATTCTATGAACGTGGCACCGTAGGTGCAACCATGACTCTATATGCCCTCCCTGTGGACATAAAAGATGCAATGGTGTTGGTCATAGAACAGCAGAGCAACCCTGATTGACATTTATGCTTCAGCTAATGTAGCCAAAAACGGATATCTGGTTATTTATCTCTCTACTGATCGTGGGACCTTGCTCTGTGCAGATTGGCTGCTGTGCTTTTCCATGCAAAAATAAGGCCAACACTTGAGAAGTCCTTTTATTCCTGAAATGCTGTGAGGTGCTTTCAGAATGTCTGAAGTTGCAAATTTCTTTTCTTCTTTAGCAACCTGTTAAAATGAAAATGGTTTCATTTAGACAATTGGGAATTTTTGGGATAATTTGAGAACTAAATGGATTTTGAATACTGTGTGTGATAGCAGCCAGTAAAAGCAACAGGCTCGCCAGGAAAAAGAACGAAAGGGAGCTTTGGGAGTCAGTGACAGATCTCTCTCCTTTGACATTGTTGCAACCCATCCCAGCAAGCAGTGTCACATGACAGATTCTCGCTAGGAGAAAGGTGGGCTGATCTCAGAGGGAGATGGAAGTGCTTCACTTACCACTTCCAGATTCGCAAGAACAGGAAATCAACAAAAAGAATGCAGATGATCCCTGTACATCGGTGTCCTGTTTATCCTGCAGTAGCTGCCTTAGTACTGGTGTGTAAAATAACGTACCAAAAAAGAATGCAATATGACTAGATAAAGCCAGGAATGTCTCCCACAACAATTTACAGAAAATGAGCCAAATTGAAATGTAACAACCAGTTTTTCTGTTCCTCCCTGTTTCTAAATTCAGTGAGATGATGTGGCAAGGTACTGTTATTATAGAGACTGGAATATGGTTCAGAGGGACTGGAGCATGCGCCAAAACTTGAGAGGAGCCTGTTGCCAAAGCGAGGCAGAAACTAGGCAGATGGGAGCACCAATCCCTCTCCATTGTGGGTAAAAACCTGGTCATCCAGTGTGAGGTACTCTCAGTGTTGTTGTACATGGCGCAGGTCTGGCCTATTCCCCAAACCTGCACCGCTGCAGGCACCCGGGCCATCTTTCACTTCATTTGGAGGTCAAAGATGGACCGAGTTTGTATAAAGATCTAGACAAAGGAGGGAAAAACATACCCAATGCTACCCTCACCCTGATGGCCACCTTTGTGTGTGGCTGCATCAAGCTGTGTGAAAACCCTCAGTACACACATACCAAGTGTCACTACTTACTGAGGTTCTACCTGTCCCCTGTCAGGTTTGGCCTTGTTGCTGCGGAACGCTCCAAGTAGTTGGACCATCCTGTATCACCTGTCCTTAGTGGAGAAATTTGCGAAGAGAAACACCTTTGACCACAAGTCAATTAGACTGTGGTCATCACGTACCGTCCTCGAGACCCTTTGGGAAAAGGAGAGAGTAGATCTTGTTGAGTGATTCCCTGTGCAGACTGAATGCCTCATCACCAGAGCTCTCCAACAAGTACCAGGACGTTGCTTGGCTGGTGGTGAGAAGGGCCCTGCCTGTGGGATCCTTTTTGCACGCCCAGACTCTCTGCGCCGCCGCACACTGCCCTGGAAGTGACAGCAGAGGGGACGAGACTGTCACACACCTCCCTCTGGAATGTGCCTATGTAAAGGAAGTCTGGAGAGAAATGCAGTGGTTTTTGTCGAGGTTCCTCCCAACAGCTCTGTGATGTGGGACTCTGTGCTCTACGGTCTGTTTCCCAGGACGCACACCGAGACAAACGTCAGCTGCGCCTGGAGGACAATCAACGCAGTGAAAGACGCTCTTTAGTCTGCCCGAAACTTACTGGTCTTCCAGTTGAAAGACTTGACCCCGACTGAGTGTTGCAGACTGGCACATTCCAAGGCCCAGGACTACGTGCTGAGGGACGCACTGAAGCTTGGGGCAGCTGGTGCTAAGACACAGTGGGGTAAGATCACCGTGTAAGGTCCTTCTGTCAAAGCAAAACAGGGGGGTCCGCTCAGTAACCAGGTTCCGCTGATGGCTCAGCTAAATGCCAAGAGGTTAAGTTTAAATAGAGAGAAAGATGAACACCAATGTTTGTTTTATTCTCTAATTAATGACATTATAGATCGGAATGGCTACATTAACTGTGGATGTGCACAAAGCTTTCCTTCTATGAATAAAGCATATCTTTGCAATAAAAAAAATTGAACAATATTTGTTTCAAGAAAAAGTGGAACCTTATGCTTGACTCTATATTGTGTTAGGATGAAAAAGGTAACTCAGAATATTGTTGGGTATGCATGATACTAAGCTGTTTGAATTTGCAGCTGAAGCACTATCCTATAGGATAGCATTTTTAGTTAGTTGAAAACTCTTAGTGATAAGAATACAATCTTGCTGATACAATCATCAAGCCTTATCTTGCATTTCCACTTGTTATAGACAGTCTTTGCAGCATGCAACTCGGAATATTGTTGCCCAAAGCAAATTAAGTCAATGATGCTAAACTCATTACACAGATATATGGCTATTTCTGTCGCTAAAAATTCGTTTGGTCAGGCTGTCAATTCTTTCAATTTCATATTATACTACTGACTTGAAACAATAAAGACATATCGGTACGTTCATGTTCTGAATGTGTAATCTGAATGCTCAGAGTTTTGACAGAAAATTAGACTTAATCATTTATTAAGTCCTTCAAAACAAATGTCGGGTGAGCTAGCTAAAGTGTGGGGATCCTCACAGCATATATTTGCAATTCCTAATTTCATGCCTGAAAGATTTGGTTCTAATTTCTTTTGGTTATGCTTCTGGGTCCCAGGCTCACCATCTGTCACAAATAGTTGCTTCAAATCTGCCTTATCTGTTCCACTTTATATCTTTAAAACTTCACAAATCATCCCTTAACTTTCTCAACTTGAGGAAATACAAGTCTTGTTTATTTAATCTCTCTGATCTTAATTCTTGGAATCCATGTACTCACTCCAATGCCAATATATCCTTCTTATCACTGTAAATTCGATCACCTATGAATTGTTTGCAATCTCTTTTCTCACAGAAATTTTGGCCTGATTTACCTTCCCGATTCCCGTAGCTGGACTGTGATCAGCTTTCCAGCCCCAAAGCTCTGAAATACCTTCCCTCCGCCTCTCCTTTGGAATCACTTCTTGAAAGCTACCTCATTGCCAAACTTTTAGTCACCTCAATCTTATTATCTCTTTATATGGCTATGTGTGAAATTCTGTCTGATAATATTCCTGATGAGCACCTTAGAGTATTTCCACTCAGCTAAAGACATTATGCAAGTACAAGTTGTTGTTATTGGAATGGAAAATAGATTTGTACAATGGCTGTGTCTAATTAGCAAACCACCTTGTTGCAGCAAAGGTACAATTATATTCACGCAGAAGGGTTGCAGAAAGGTTAACCCGGTGAATTTCATGTTCAGTTTTCAGCCTTGACTTGTGTGGAAACTTGATGTGCAAATGTATCATTTAATCTATTTTTGATTGTCAACAGCTATCCAAATTAGAATAGTGCAAGAATCTTCAGGAAAACTTGTTCTGACTGGCTTCATGCATTTCCTCCTATCTAATATTTGCTGATATTACCAGTGGTTTCGTTCAAAAATACTCCCACTACAGAGTTAGGGTCTTCCTGTGCGGTGTAAGAGGCTTGTGTCTTTCCAATAACCTGTCTTGACTGTGGAACCTTGACACAGCAAAGACTCAAAAATATTGCTTTTCCTGTGTCCCTTCAGGGGAAAACAGATTTGTGTCGAGGGAGGCATTTGTACTGCATAATCCATAAAACCAGTGAGAGAACGCCATTAAAAATGCCCACGAAAAGGATTGATCCATGTCCCATCCCCGCAGTTTATATGAGAAATAATGAGAATGACCCTTAAAGAAGAAGCATCTTAAAACTGTGGCTGGTCACTCTCCAAGCATGAATGGGTAATACTAAAAACAGTGCAAACTACACAACTTTAATAGCTGAAGGAAACAAAGTGTGGAACAACAGGCTTCCTACCGGCCTCAATGACGATGCTCCAATTTTATAGTTGCATTGTCTTCACTTGTTTGACAGGCATTTGGTGAAGACAGCTAAACGAGGACAAGGTTTCTTCAAGCGGTTGAAGAGAGAGGAAGAGGAGAAACAAAATGTATTGCGGATGGAGCAAAAGAAACTAATAGAGACATTCAGCCAAGAGTGGCAACCTCCCAAGTACTCCTCGGATGAGGAATCTGAGGAAGAACAACACGAAGTGAAAGGGTAAGTGGCACTTTGATATTATTAGAGCTCTACCATGCTGATTCAACATACTGCATGTAAGCATACTGCACTGTGATAGCAATTCATTGTTCTGGAAGGTAAACATTTACGAATTTTGTTCTTTCTCAGGAATAATAATCCAAATTTGGCAGGAGGGAAATTACCTTCAAACAGATTCTTTTTAAAATCATAGTGAAAAAAAAAACAAGGTTATGTTTAATTCTAAAGAAGATTAACTTTACATTAAGGATCCCAGTGCCTGCAGTTTCTGTATGGGTCATGCGTCTAGCTTGCCACCCTCCAGAGCTTACTATGTTGTGGGTTGCATTCTTTGCAGAATCAATCTAGGCGGCATGGTGGCTCAGTGGTTAGCACTGCTGCCTCACAGCGCCAGGGATCTGGGTTCGATTCCACCCTCGGGCAACTGCCAGTGTGGAGTTTACACATTCTCCCCGTCTCTGTGTGTGTTTCCTCCAGATGCTCTGGTTTCCTCCCACAGTCCAAAGATGTGCAGGCTAGGTGGATTGGCCATGGGAAATGCAGGGTTACAGGGACAGGGTAGGAGGTAGGTCTGGATGGGGTGTTCTTTGAAGGGTCAGTATGGACCCAATAGGTCAAATGGCCTGCTTTCACACTATAGTGATTCTATAAAAAATGCTTAAAAAAATATCAGTCATACCACGGCTGGAATAACGTGAACAGTTTTGGTCCTCTAATCTAAGGAAAGATTTACTGATCATGGAGCAGCCCAAAGAAGGTTCACTAGGTTGATCCTGAATACGGTGGGCTTGCTGTGTGAGAAGAGTTGAGTAGGTTGAGGTGGACTCATTGGAATTTAGAAGAACGGGAAGAGACCTTTCCTAAAACATACAAGAATCTCTGGTGGCTTTCCGGGGTAAATGCTGAGGGGTTGTATTCCCTTGTCAGAGAGTCTAGGACCAAAGAGCGTAATCTGAGAGAAAGGATCGCCCAGTTAGGACAGAGATGAGGAAGAATTTCTGCTCTCAAAGGGGTGAATCTATGCAATTCTTCACCACAAATACTGTCAAGGCTGCTTTGTTAAGTATATTCAAGCCTGACATGGATAGATTTTTAATCAATAATGGAATCAGGAGTTATGGGGAAAAGGCACGTAAGTGAAGTTGAGAATTATTAGATCAGCTATAATCTCATTGAACAACAGAGCAGACTTGAAGGGCCGATTGGCCTGCTTCTGTTCCTATGTGTTATGGTTAACCTCTCTAAAACATCAACAGTGTCTCAGACAATCTCTATCCAGGAATTGACTCTTTCCTGGCTTTGGGTAGATAGAAGAAAAGATGGTGTTTCATATGTGTAATACTTCTTGTGACCTCAGGATGTCCACAAGAACCTTCTAGCTAATGAGGTTCTTTTATTACGTGTATTAAAATTTTGATTTTAGTTTTTTATCCAATATGCTACACAACTTGAAGCCTTATAGATGTAAGACATACATGTGTGGCAAAAAGACCTAACAAAGTATGAAATTAGAAACTGCCTTTCTACCACCAAGAGCAGTCCTTTTGTGGTATTACCAAGTCATACATGCAACATCCTTGTACATGCTTATGTGCAGCTTGATGTTCCCTCTGCACTGAAAGAAATTCCCAGAAATCCTGCACCTGTAACGTATATCATCATTCATGTCAGAAAGATGTCTCTGTTCAACTTCCAGTAGTGTTGCATTTCCAAATTAATGGAAAGCCTCAATTGTGCTGATATTTGATTGTGACGATATTCTCATGCCATGGTATTTTGCTTAGGATTTTTGTAATAGATCCAATCTTCTCACCACGGTCAAATGCAATAAAAGTTCACTCTCGAAGGACTTCCAGTAAAAGAAAGATTCCAGATGCACGACCTTACACACCAGTACATTGTAGCCTTATGTCAACCAGATTGACGGAGAAAGACATGTGAGTATAATTCTAAATGGATGTGCTTGGATAACTATTTTTAATTCATCAGTTAAGAAAGTTATATTTAATGTGTCATCCAATTAATTCCATTAGATGGGAACCAATCTTGTAATAGTATTCTCACACCTCTTAAGATAGCATTCCATGAGACTTTTTAATTACTTTGGTATCTGTACATCTGTACTTTGTATAATTGACACCGAAATGTTGCTCTACCACAGCACCTAGTCACTCACCATTAGGAATATATTTTTGATTTCTCTCTTTTGGATCCAAAGTCTTGACAATTCATAACTTTGAACCCCATCCTCTACAGTTTTACACTCACTTAACATGTCTACAGTATTTTGTAACTTACTTTTTTCATGTTTAATTGTGCCTCCCAACGTACTGGAAAGAAACAAGAAACTTAATTTCTCTTACATCTTCCTTGAGATGGACTTCCCAAATGCTTTACAGTCCATTAAATACTTTGGAAGTGTGACAAGTGTTTTAGTAATTTGTTTATTGCTGAGAAAAATATACTAAAAATGCACAATAAAAATCATCCAAGTTTCACTCGTAATTCTAAAGGGTAGGAAAGAATCTCCATAAAATTTCCATACGAGTGCAAAGTGCTTTGTAGCAATGTATGCTAATTAAAAATGATGCAACCAATTTAAAATATTGTCTTCTGTTGAGATTCATGGGGAGAAAAAAGGTTCCTTTATATTTGATATGTGCCAGGACTGCTATTATGTTCATTATAATTGAGCTGAGGATTCCTCACAAGTGACACTTGCTCATTCTGTGTCTTTAAGCACTGACATGATGGTTTTTCAATGCAGCTCATGTTCAAGAATCTATCCAAATATCACCAAGTCTTTCATACCTGATTCCTGACAACACATAAATTTTAAAAATATATCATCTAAGAATATGTTTGTTCTGGCCACAAGTTTGAAAGAATATTTTGTGTTAAATTTTCTGATTTCACTGGTTGTTCTTCTCTATCTTAAGTAATCTGACATGTAAATCCTTCCATCAGAGCTGTAATTACACTGAGGTTTCTGCCTTCCTTTCAACAATCAGCTCTAATCACTTCACAGGATGATTTTCATAATTGTACTACATATTCATTAGACTATAATTTGCTTGAAATTCTTCCATCATTTCTTTTAGAGAATAAAATGATTTTGTCTGGTCAGGTTGAAAATGCCTGAATGCTAGGTAACTGGCAGCATAACCTAACAGTGAACTGATATTTCACTCATGAGTGGCCACTTCCATCCAGTAACATTACTGCTCGTGCCATCACTTATTTCCCAATGTTTTAACCAAGGCCACTTCTCTATTGATAACAAGGTGTAGAGCTGGATGAACACAGCAGGACAGGCATCATCAGAGGAACAGGAAAGCTGACATTTCGGGTCTGGACCCTTCTGTTTAGAACAGTGCAATCTGAAATTATTGTTACAAATTTACAAAGTAGTAGATGGTTGTCATGGGTAATTTGGATCCTTGCATTTTTCATGGGAAAAGAATGTAAACAGGGAATTTGGGCATAGATGTGAAATTGCATGGGGTCATCAAGCACACGCAATTCAACACCTGAATGTGCATGCCCAAATTCTCTGGTATCTACTCCTGCCGCATTGAGCTCAGGCCAAGATTACCAAATCGTAAAATGTGTACAATAATAATTCTCCAAATGGAGTGTTTTTAATTTTACCTGGACTATTGCCTTGAAAGAGAGAGAAATCCTGTGCAGGAGACAAAGACAAAGGGATTGAACTACTGCAAAGATGTTCAAGTCAAGATTTCAAACACAGCTCTGGCAGAGATCTAAACAATAACACCATAGAAGAAAATAACTTCTAATATTTCATTGCTGAATTGAAAATCTACCATTTCCCAGCTGGTGCACAAGTTGGGAATTGCTGCAACAAAAAGTAGAATGAATCCCTACAGATGGTGAAAAGACAGGTCCTCTGTCAGGAGGCTATTCTGAACCAGATGGCGGAAATAGCGCTACAGTTGATTGTCGTCAGTATCTGTGAACTAGGAAGAAGAAAGAAAATGACATTCCCATGTCTGATCATTTACATTGTGATTGTTGCTGCAGTGTTCATGGGAAGGCACGTCAGGTGAGAATTGAATCAGTTCAGCCTTGGTTCTTCTCACAGTACAAGAGCCCAACACTGGACTCAACCAGTGAACGTCTGATGCCCTTGGAGCAATATCTCAGGCAAGAGTCAGAACTTTAGGGAGGGAGAATAATCTCATCTGAAGAGACTTAATGTTTTTCATCTGTAATGTCCAAAGACCCTGCTGCCCTAAGATCCATGCTTGCTTTCCTACAGGGAGCTACTCTTTCGACAACTCTGTGCCTTGACCTGGCTACTTGAGGCTGTGACTGTAGAACCACTGAGCACAATGGGCACTGTTACAACCTGCTGGAGTGCCAGGTAACACTTGCCATAGCTACAATATTATGTCTTGCAGTGCCCTGTTTGTTCCTTTATAGATTTAGAGAACGCCTGCGTGACTGAAGCTTTCTGCTGTAGTCCTCTGATCATGCAAGGCAACAGAGAGTCACTTGCACAGCTACAGTAGCCTTGCTGGTGAGTTCACAGTAATTGGATACCAGATAACTTGTTGCAAGCCTCATATGTTTCACAGGTAGGGTGGGGGAAAGAAACAATTTGAATTCCTGTTCCTGCTTGCTATTCGTATCCTGGCTGCAAATTGTACATTTGTGGCTATTATGCAGGGAATAAATCAGGCTTCATTCCCAGAAAATCCATTTCACATGTTTTTTTTCACCACTTTCTGTCTGACCTCCTGTTCTTATGTAATGCAAAATCCTCCATCTCCGATCCATACATGTTTTTGGGAGTCATGGAACTTGCAATCATTCCAAACTTAGTGGTAGCTAATAAGTAGCTATTAAGCACACAGTATTTGTTTATCATTAAGAGGTGAAGCACCACAGTCAATGTTTCTATAGTGTACAGGAACAGCATGCATGTCTTTAATTTTGAAACCAGATAGTAAAGTAGGAAACCAGACCCCAATCTTTTACGCAATACCAGATTTATTGATTGAATGCAACATATACCTGTCTCCTTCCTAAAATACACTCAGCATACCAGACATCTCTCATACCCTTGAGTAAAATCAAACAAATAAACTAAATATCCAATCATCGCTTACTTATCAAATTAAATTAAATTAACACTTTTGCAGGAGGCGGTGGTGGAGAGTGGTGGTTCGTGGGCTGTAGCCTTGCAGTGTATACCTAAAGAAGGCAGACACCTAGTGCTCCCTCACCAGTGACACCCAGGCACAGATTTCACCTTAAACAAGTAGTAACATCGAATCAGAGATAGTAAGAACTGCTGATGCTGGAGACTGAGATAACACAGTGTGGAGCTGGAGGAACACAGCAGGCCAGGCAGCATCAGAGGAGCAGGAGAGTTGACGTTTCGGGTCGGGACCCTTCCTCCTCCTCACTGTATCATAGAATCATACAATACAGAAGAGGCCTTTTGGCCCATTAAGTCTACACTGACAAAAACTACCCTAAATCTGCTGTAGTCCCACTTTCCACCACTTGGCCCATAGCCTTGAATATCATGGCATTTCGAGTGCTCATTGAAGAACTTTTTAAAGGTTGTGAGGTTTCCTGCTCAACTACTCTTGCAGTCAACATCAAATGACCCCCTCAACTACCTACTGCCTGGATTTGTTAAAGGACACCTTGGCCATGCCAAGGAGCTGCTAATGGGCTCCTCTTCTGACCTACACACCCCTTTCCATACCAGGTGGCCACAGATCGGATACATGGGTCCGAAGTGGGACCAAAAGTGCTGGTGGTTTGGTTGCTGCAGCTGGTAGCTACTGCCAGGAGATCTCTTGTTGTGGAATACTATGCTTACAGACTAACCCCTCAAATAGTGCAAAAGAGCTGCAACCTCATCTAATCGACACAAAGATAGAATGCGGACTCCTGAACACCACAGAAATTAGACATTGTTGCATGCAACACACTTAGTGTCAAATCCTCAATGGAAAAAAGAAGAACATGTATGCAAAGAACCCTCCACTGGGGGCTACTGCCACCTGTGGGTGGCAGGACAGAATGGAACAATGTGGAGCTGTGGGGGTGTGCACTGAGTGCCTGATATATCATGTTGGAGCAGGGGGAGGAATGCATGTACATGGCATTAGGTCATTCCAACATCTTAGGCATTCCCCTTTCAACATTCCCCACTGTTCTGCTGGCTGTGTCCACAGGAAGGCAGCTCTCAGTGAAATCCTCAGCAGTGACTATGCCAGGGAGGTACAACACAGTGGGTCAGTGCTGCAGGATGGCCGGGGAGTAGGCACCCTGGATCCCTCAATCTGACCAGTGTGTGAGTCTCCAGCCAATGGTTTTCCCCTGTGAATGCCCAATGACCGGTAGTTGCTGCAACCCCGTCCCTCACACATCATTTCACTTAGCTTTCCCCTTTTTGGATGTGGTGGTAGCCATTTTCTTCCCCAGTGTGTATTTTCCATTTGCATTATGATGGAAGGCAAACAGCGAGTGGCCATCTGCCAGTGGCCTACACCCTGAGTTTGAACGTGCCGGAAAGTCCCCAAATATTATCCCATATCTCTGTGACCATCCCGCTCACCCTACATGCTTCACCCCACCCAAGCCACCTACTGCCTCAAACTGCCTAGCTGTTACCCCACTGTCAGGAAAGCGGTGAGGGTTGGCTGAATTTCGGACGAATGTCAGATGTCAATGTCTGTGGAGGACGTATACCTGCAGCCGGTGCCTACAGATCATGCCCTGGGCTGCTGTTTACTTGATGTGCAAATCATTTAGAGGTTAATTTTGTGAGTACTGACTCTGGTTTCCTTAGAGATAGTAAGAACTGCAAACGCTGGAATTAGAAATAACACAGTGTGAAGCTGGAGGGACACAGCAGGCCAGGCAGCATCAGAGGAGCAGGAAAGTTAATGTTTCGGGTCGGGACCCTTCTTCTGGTTTCCTTGTTCTATTTATCCGGTGTCTAGTTTGTTGGACAGATTAGGTAAGCTTGGAAGCAGGATGTTAATGAAGCAAGTTGGGCCATCATCAAGGACCTTAACAAGCATTATTTATTGTCAGTTCGTACCTTGGCACTGTCTGGTGAGAATCTCATGGCCCTGCTTGTGAAAAGTATAAAACGCGGAGTGAGATCTCAATGTTAAGATGGACCTTGCTGACTATTTATCCAATTCTGTCACACATCACACTGTAGGTCACATCACTCAGGCCCTGATTAGATTCTGCCCCAGATGCTTTTTTCCAAACATGAGAGATTTTCTGTATATAACTGCTGGAGAGAGTAAATTTCATCACAGTTTATTTGAATGGAACCTGCTGACACTACACTAAAAATGTGAAAGAAAGCAAATAACCATCAATGCTATGTCGAAAGGAAATCTAGTCAAATGGAATCAAAAGGCTGAAACAGCAAAGTGCTTTTAAAGAGTGAATTTCTATGCCGAGAACTCCCTTTGTACTTCAATATTTGCAAAAAGCAAAAGGATTAAATTTAAATGTTTTTCTTTCTATTTGTTACATTGAATTAAACTCAGTTTACTCTCTCAGTGATCGATAAAGGCTGCACCGTGGGCCATTCTGTGGACATATCCAGAAGTCATTTTATAAAAAGGATGTGAAGCACTGAGGAAGAGCAAAAAAGGAGATTGAGTGGTAACCTGATAGAGGTCTTTATGATTTTGAGAGGGTTTGATTGGGTAGATGTAGGGAAGATGTAGTTTGGATCTCGAGGCTATTAAGGGAGAGTAGTCATCAGTAAATCAGAAAGGGACTTGGGAAAGAATTTCTTTACCCAAAGAGTAGATAGAATGTGGAACTCACTACTGAAACAAATAGTTAAAATGATAAGTATTGATACATTGAAGGGCAAGTTAGATAAGTAGTTTAGGAAGGAAGAGATATAAAGTTCTGCTGATGTGGTTAGATGAAGATGGGAGAAAGCTCAAATGGAGTAGAAATACCAGCATGGATGACTTGGGTTGAATGGCCTGTTTCTGTGCTGTATATTCAATGTGTTAGTCATGACCTGAAGAACATTGGCTCATTTACCAGCCTACGGTAATCTTTACATTAAAGTGCATTGGCCTTTTTACAAAGTCACATCAAAAAGATGAAATCTAGAACATGTAATAAATTGAAACAGAACAGACCTTAAAACCATGGTAATTTAATTGAAGATTGATGTGCAAAATAATGTGAAACGAGTTTTGCATGCTTAGAAGCACAAAGGACAAAGCTAATGAATCAGCAGCTCATAAGAACCAAGGGAAGGTGATTGTCTTCTTCATTTGGAACTTGAGAAGATATGCTGTTTATACCTGGGAGTGCCGTTTTAATGAGGCACAGCATGTATCTTCAGTCGGATAAACACCCTCAGATAAAATCTCCTATTCTCTGTCTCAGTGAAAATAATGTATCAGGATTTTGATAGAAACTTGCAATTGAGGTCAAAATGCAGCCAGAGACTTTCACCTCAATGTGGACCAGACTACAGGGAACATCTTCTTTGTGCTGTTTATGAGGGTTATTGCAGAAGCTGAATATTCACAGTCTCTCCCCACTTAGTATTGACCCACTTAATGTTGTTTCATGTTTTTGTTATTAATAACATAGTATCAGTATGATCATTTAAAGTTGTCAGTTTACTTTAACATTGCTTTGCAGACTTGCTGTTCTGTGGCCTGCCTGCTTAGCTGATTTATCCCCCAGTCTTATAATCCTAGCATTATTTCTGGGTTATGCTTTGTTGTGATCTTGTTTCCCAGAATTTCTGTGCAATTGGCCTCAACTTCTGCCTCTATGCTTTTTCGAAGCTTCAGATCTGCCCTTCTATTCATTGCTAACTCCACTCCGGAATTTACCTCGGTCCTGGTAAAGAGTAAGTAGTTCTGGGAGTTGAGCTGCTGCCAAATCAATCTAACTGTACTGTATATAGGGACAGGGACAGAACTCACAGACTTCAGTGCTGCTCCTGGCTAGGCACCCCAACCCTCAACCCAAGCACAGTGGCCCTGGCCCCAAACAGAGCACAGTGGCCCTGGCCCCAAATAGAGCACAATTGTCTTGACCCCAAATAGAGCACAGTGGTCCACTAGAACCTTGCCCACCCAGCGCCCTACCTTAATTGGCCCCAATATACTCTCCTGTTTGAGCCCAGACTATACAATGAAGGTGACTGGTTTTTTTTTTCAAATATTGTGTTGTTTCTTTTTATAATTAGCGATGCATTTTATTTTGCAATCTTTTTCAGCCAGGAGTGCAGTATTGAGAATGTATGGTACAGTATTTCAACTTATGTTGTTTCTTTCTGGATGATAGAAGTTCAAAGGAACCTAACCCTAGCTTTAACATTGATTTCTATGGGAAAACATCATACATTTAAAGTCATTTTAACTTAAAGTTGTGAGTTTTAGGAATGCAAACACAACGTTAAGTGAGGACTTGGTATATGTTTTTTAAATACAAAGCGTTGCGAAAGCAACTGTATCTTGCTTTGTTCAGAAATACCTCAGCCTCCTGAGTAAATTTGATATTTTCCCTCTTTTCTTGGCTCAGAGATCCAGGTGGAATGAAAAATACAGCCAGGAAAGTCAACAAAGATAAGTCCATAGAAACAAGGTGGGAACAGTTCGTAACACAGCCCAAGGTAAAACAATTAACCTTACTCTGTAGCACCTGGAAAGTAGCACTGTTAGTAGATCGATCCCCTTGTTAATGCTGGCACTAGGTACAAAGCTCTTTACACCAGTACCATGTTTGTCAGAAATCCTCGACCAGGAAATCACTGAAAAAACACACAGTTCTGCATAAAGTACTTTTGTAATAACCGATCTTGAAAGTTAACTTGATCAGTGGCTCTTTTGCCTTCCAAATATGAACAAAACAGATTCAAGACCTGTATAAAATTAGAGCAAGCTCTCAGTGAAATACCAAGGGAATCATCAAACCTGCCACACTCCTTTGTTTGGTAGTGATGTTTGGGAAAAATGTTGCCTGGATTACTTGATTCACGACTCAATGCATTTAACCAACATGAAGAAGTCTCAAGAAATTGTTTATGTATTGTTTTTACTTTTCACATGTCCTTTCCATGGTGCATTTTTAAAACAAAAAATGTTTATACACAGTAAAAATGGTCAGCCTCATATTCTCTGCAAGAATGGACTGAAAATGTTCCTCTGGCTTCCCTGAGCAATGCAGGGAAATGCATAATATACTTTTCTGTTCAAAATGGAAGGAACTTGCTCTCTTTTAACATTTTAGAGTTGAATTTTAATTTCATTGCACAATACTTTGATCAAAATCTCATCTGTCAACTGGCAGTGAGTGCACTATGTGGCCTCAACACATAGTTATGTATCTGTGTGTCGGTACAATTAGGTCTTTAAACATTTGTTTTCCAGTTCAAAAAGCTTTCTCCTCGGATTCTGCGCAGGACATCGTTACGACCCAGAAGGACCTCTCTTGCAACTATATCACACGCCAGTGATACAACCCCTGTCCTCGGCAGTGCCTCATCGGTGATCACTACTTCCGATGACCTGGGAGTGGTGACTCCGGCTCCAATGTTAGAGTCAGTTTCCGAGGCTGAGGACAACGACTCGACTGCAAGCAGCTCAATCACCCAAAGCAAACAGGAGCAAGAAGAAGAGGAGCCGGTGACTCACTGTGAGTGTGTTCAATCAGCTATCAAGCATTATGCCAGTTACTGACTGAACAGGAATCTCAGCATTTTGGTAGCTATTAAAGCCATCTTAAAATGGACAGACTAGTGAGCTCAATACCAATGCTCCCCTCTTCAATGCTTGAATGAGTTCTGCTGTTAGTGTGAAAGGATCATTCCCAGCAAAGACCATACACGAGGCTACAACACATAATTTGGTGGGGGTATGGGGGCAGTGGCTGCACTAACATGGCAATGTTAGTATCCCTATCTCTGGGCCAGGTCCCTCCTGCTCACGAGGTGTGTCATTAGATGTCTGAACTGGTTGATTAAAGATATCTACAACACAAAATTGTGTGTAATTGGGCATTAATTGACCATAGCGGATTTATTTGTTTTAATGAGTCATTTATGCCTTATTAATATTTGTGTAAATGTTATGTCTGCCAGTTAAATGCCACCAATCAGCCATTTGTTTTATCTGGGTTAATGGCTGGATTAAAAACAGTAAGAATTCTAGGATCCATGTTACTGATGAACTCATAATGAGCAGATGAGACTAAAACCATAGATTGGCAGTGTCAAGGAGAGGCTTTTAAGTGAAATGGAAATATTTATTACAATAGAGGAGTATTCTTCTAAGTTCAATATTGGGACAATTTACGTGGATGATTGAGTCATAGAACTGTACAGCATAGAAATAGGGCCTTTGGTCTAACTTGTCCATGCCAACCAGATATTCTAAATTAATCTAGCCCCATTTGCCAGCATTTGGCCCACATCCCTCTAAAGCCTTCTGATTCATATACCCATCCAAATGCCTATTACATGTTGGAATTGTACCAGCCTCCACTTTCCTCTGGCAGCTCATTCCATACACACACCACCCTCTGCGTGAAAAAATTGTCCCTTTTAAATCTTTCCCCTCTCACCTTAAACCTATGCCCTCTATAGGATTCAACAGAGTACTATTTTAACTTGGTACCTAACTGATGTTGCCCTTTGATACTGATGGATTGTAATGATTGCAAAAACGAACTTTCTGCTCCTATGATGCTGCTTGGCCTGCTGTGTTCATCCAGCCCTGCACCTTGTTGTCTAACTTTCTGTGATTTTGTTATTTGTGTTTCATTAAAAACCTACTTAATAGAACCTATTCCCAATGATGCTCTATTGGCCAGCTTTCTACGTAAATTATCATCACTATCTGTTAGTATGCCCTAGCATAGTAAGAATTAAAAGAGGGAAGATAGTTGAACATTCACAGTCTAAATTGAAGGAGCTAGTTGGGAACTAATTAGCAGTTTTAACAAATGTTAGTGTATTGTAACCGTCCAAACATGATTGAAAGCTATAGATATATCATATCGCATTCACTGATGTGCAACAAAGTTAGTTCGAAGTGCACTAACTGGTGTAGAACTGAGGCAGACAGGCCATGAAGGTCCCAGATTCAATTCTTTACTTTGTGCCCATTATCTGATTATAGCCAGGGTATGTGTTAGAATTGACTGCAAACTAAAGCAGGAGTAAACTCAGGTAAGATTCCCACACATTGCCATTGTCAATTGACTTATATTAGACAGGGTGTATATACGTGGATATGAAGTGATAGCAAGACTTGGCTATCATGCCGTCCTGTGTTTACTTCATCAACTGGCATACTTCCTTGCATCTGAGGAATGACCACCGGGCTGAGATAGCAAATGCCAGTTGGACCAAATTGCAACTCAAACCACTGCATCCAGCAGAGGAGGGAAAACTGTGGGGGCACACAGGGTGTGAGGAGGAGTAACATTAGGCAGGAACTGTAAGGGAAAGAAAGCTTTGAGACATATTGACCAAAGTGGCAGTGCCATAAAAAGCTGATGGTAGTTAAAAGCTGAATTTTATAGCATAAATTTCGTCAGATGAAAGCAATTAATACCAACTCTGCGTAGGCCCAAATCTGACTCACAGTATTACATGAAATGTGAAATAGAAAAATTTGTTTTAGCATGCCATTCATTCCAACTCCTTCAAACTATCCAGGACAGCAGTTGCTGCCAGTGAAGGTGCTGTGATTTAAAAGAAACTTCTGCAATGCCTCTACAGGACAAAATAATACTTGAGGCCAAGTTAGCCTAAAGACTTGCTTTGCTGCTTAACCATCCCTGCTTTAAAGTCTTTTTAGTTTCTTAGGTAGCAAATAGTCTTTAAGCTTTCTCTCATATTGCTATTTCTGGTCTATTACTGTACAATAGCATAATGTCAGCACCTCACTTCCACTCAAATTACTCCTTTAGTGTTACATTTGACCAGACCTCTACCAACCTGGGGAACAGGAAACTACCTGCACGCTCTCATCAGTTTTGAAGATGCTTTGGTATCTATTTGACTTGATGTGTTGTCTATCTGTATGTGTTTGTATCCTTCTAGAGATCTTTTAGTTTTTAAAAGAAGCTAAAGCTGTTTCAAGTTTTGGAATGTGGCTGTTTTACTTCCTGTACAACTGGTTTCTTTCAGCAAGATGTGTTGATTGATTTATTGGATCAGAGAAAATTTGATAATCTCAATGTAACAATGTATGATACATCAAAACATGGCCAAATCATTGGGAAGATGAGGGTCACAGGTAACTGATAATACTTTCCATTGAAATACATCAGCTGATCTATAAGTCATCATGTGCTTTGTAGCTCTTCAACAAATCACTTTGCTATTTACTTCCTTTTAACATCCTGAAAATATTAATTTGCATAAAATACATTTTCTGTTGCCCTTACAGCTTGCATGTTTCCCGCAGCCTGCACTCCCCCTATCTAAGACGTTCTTCAACCTGAGGATGTTATACAGCTGCATAATGTTGAAAGAACAATCTGCCAGCTCACCTTCCTCTTGACCTAACATTCATGCTTACCCAGTCAAAGGCTTATGTTATGTAACACTTTCCAAGTCCTCAACAAATTACAGACAATGAATTACTTTAGGAACAAAAAAATAGAAATTTCTGGAGAAACTCAGTGGGTCTGGCAGCATCTATCGAGGGAAAGCAGAGTTAATGTTTTGAGACCAATAACTCTTCTTCATAACAGATTAGTTTAGGAATGTGGGTACTGGTAGCTGTGGACTAGTTTGACAGGTAATGTAGACAACAAGGCCCCACAAATGACATGACTCATAAATTAAAGACAAGAATCAAACAGCACCTCATAAAGTATTGTGCTTCATATGTTTAGGAGCAGTTCTACACACTATGGGAAGGATCTAGGTGCAGAAGAGATTCACCAGCAAGTTGCCTGGGCTGGAGCAATTCAGCAATGATGAGAGACCAGCTAGACTGGGATATTTTCTTAGAGCAGAGAAGGCTGAGAGGGGAATCCGACTGAGGTGTGCAAAGATTTGAGGGACATAGACAGGGTAGATAGCAAGAAACTTTTCCCTTTTATTAGAGGGATCAATGACTGGGGGGCACAGTTCAAAGGTAAGGAACAGCAGATTTAAAAGGGATTTGAAGCTAAAAATCTTTCACCTAGAATGTTTTGCATATCTTGAATTTACTGCCTGAAAGGATGGTAGAGGGGAGAGCCCTCAAAACATTAAGAATTAGTTAATCCAGTTGAATTGCCATTGCATATGAGGCTACTAGCCAATTGCTGGAAAATGGGACTAGACGAGATGGATGTTTGATGACTGACACTGATATGATGGGTGAAAGGACCTCGTTTCATTCTGTAAAAGCTCTCTCTCTCATTTTTTGTCTCCCTAGCACTGAAGGATAAAAGCTTCTTATGGCTTGAGATTCATTTCAGATTATTTAATAAAATCAGTAACCATGAAAATAAATTAGTAAAACCCTTATTAGTTCTCAAATTCCAAGGTTCTTTGGACTCTGTTTATCCATTCCCCCCCACCAGCCCCACCAGGAAGCAGTGTTTTTCAGACTCGGGGCATGGGGGTTGGTGGAGGAAGAGAAGGCTTACACTAATGCCTTCAATTTAGGTTTAATGGGCAACATTATAAAGTTTGTTCGTGATACATACTTGACAAAGTCATCAGTTGAGTTGATGATGACATAGACAGGATAGCGAAATGGATAGATACACGTCAAACGGAGACATATGAAGGGCTCACTTCTGCCATTAAAGATCAAGTCAGTTATAGTTAAAATGGAGAGAAGAAAGACTTTGATGTCCATTTGTATAAATCCTTTAAGCTAGCAAGACAAGTTGACAAAATTGTTAATAAAACAAACGGATTATTTGTGTTTCTAAATAAAGGAATGGGATGTAAGCAAAGAGATTATGATAGAACCGCTGGTGAGACCTCTGCTGAAGAACTGGGGAAAATCTGGGCTTTGTCTTTGAGCAAAGATGTAAAGGTAGGGAAAAGATGCAAAGGAGGTTACTATATATTATCAGGAATTATAACCTTATGTGGAGATACTTGAAAAACTATAACTGTTTTCCTTGGAGCAGGGAAGTTTAAGAGATGATCTAAGAGTTTGAAATGGTGACCAGTACACAGTACTCCAGATGCAGCCTCATCAAGGCCCTGTATAAGTGAAGTATAACTTCTCTTCTGTTGCATCCAATTCCTCTCACAATAAACCATAACATTATTTAACTTTCCTGATTACTTGCTGTATCTGCATATTACCCTTCTGTGATTCATGCACAAGGACACCCAGCTATCTCTGTATCTCAGAGCTCTGCAACCTCTCAGCATTTAGATAATATGTTTTTATTTATTTTTTCTGCCAAAACAGACAATTTTACACTTTCCCAAATTGTATTCCAGTTGACAGATCTTTGCCCACTCCATTAACCTGTCTATATCTCTTTCTAGACAATCTTATGTCCTTTTCACAACTCATTTTCCTACTTATCTTTGTCATAATGCTATCAAATTTAGCCATTACACCTTCATTCCCTTCAACCAAATTATTTATGTACATTTTAAAGAGCTGAAGCTCTATCACCGATCACTTGCAACATTCTGCCAGCACGGAAAAGACCCACTTATT